CCAAATTGCTGTTTTCTCTTGCATTAATTCAGTAGTAGCTCTCTTACATAGCAGGGACTTGAAATCACAGTTTGTTGTAGAAGTGCAGGTGAGCGTGCTCTCTGACTTTAGATTATCAAGCGGTGCACTCAGTATATCTGTGCACAAAACCAGACTGGTTATGATAATATGATAATTCCTGCTCTTGATATAAGCATATATTTCATAAAAGCTTCCCCTCCAACGATATCTTTGTCTCTCTGTTCATATTTTACTCGGTTCCTACGTTTAATAAGCGCAGTCACCCTCTTCCCCCGGTTTTTACTTCAATGTAAATTGGAGGGAAATGTGAATATTGAATATCATTGTGCGTCCACTGAGACATGCTGCCTTCATGGATGAGTAAAACTGACAAAACAGAAGGAGCTGTCAGAGGACTCTATGACTTCAAGGCAGATTTAGAGTTTAGGAGTGGTTCAGGCTGAAATCCCTCCCGGCTAAGATAAAGTGGAGACACAAACTGAAGCGTGCCGTATAGCCCACGCTTTTGTGTGTGTAAAGATTTAAGAAAAAGAGAGAGAACTGACTGAGGAGGAAAAAACTGTTCGCCTAGACTGCCCTAGACAGCCGCAGAGGGATAAAACCAACATGGAGTGCATGCTGAGCGCACGCTAAACAAACACGGGCTATGATAGCGGCTCAGTGGGACCACAGAAGTGTCATCCAGGCCGCACACACAGACACACAGCGGGGTGGGATGTTTTTAGTAGACGGCTTTAAAAAAGGTCAGGCAGACACACCAGGTGAGGAGTCTGAGGACAGGTGTAGAGACAGTGGGAAGTGAGTCCTGAATGTAAGATGTGTGTGTGTGCATGTATGTGTGTGTGTGTGTGTGTTGCAACAGCGCTCTGGTGGTACCTCAGTCAGTCAGTAGGGCTGTGTTGAGGGATTAACAGTGTGGCCTGCATGGGCTTGGGGTAATCTCTCCTCTCTTCTTACATAACACTGGGCCATTAGTCAGCACAAACACACAATAAACAACACAATCAACAACACCGAGCTCCACAACAAGACCACACATGCTCTGGTAACACTGCAAACCGGAGATTCACTCAGGCCAGGTGCCCACTGTAGTGCGCAACAAGTGATTTCATGGCCACAATGGAAAGCAGTGATTTGCTGAAAATAACCTGCTGTTCCTACATGGGCCGCCTCATCAGTCAGTGTGAAGTTTGTCGGCTCATATTTTGGTATTCATTGTTGGTGATGTTAGCAAAATTGGTAAAACAGGCACTTTCATCCCCGTCAATGATTTTAAGTTTGAACCTTTTACTTTAGCCTCCTCCGTTGCATTCATAAGCATTTTATAATGTCATATGCTATATATATAAAACACACCTTAAAGTAGCTGAGAGCAGATGTTAATGCACACTATTTGTCAACAATTACAACATCTCATATGTCTTTATATAACTTTTATTGTGTTGCCACTTATTTGTTCACACACCAGCCTCTGCTTGTGGGTGCAAACAATCTGTTCACAACTACAACACTCATAAATGCTAAATGGCAGTGGGGTTGTAATGCCTGTGCCTATTGTTATAACAAATCACAGGCACAAAGATGACAAAATCAATAATAAATCTTTACAATCCCTACTTATGATCTAATTCTATTCATTTAGCATTAAATCTAAAGTCATTCAAGTTATGTGCCATAGATTTATCTAAACAGTCTGCTTCCGTTGGCTTTGGCTAAAAAAAAAATTGATCCCGGGATGCTTTCGAACCGGACAAATCAATACTCACACAAGCCTCCAAAGCAAAGCAGGATGGGACTAATTCTATTGGCATGAGGCCGTCATGCGTAGTATTGCAGCTGTACGTGTGTGTTTTCAGTGCTCTCAGGGTTTTTATGTGAGTGAATGCTATCTAATATAAAAAACGTCAGAGCTGTAATAACCAGAAATTAGTTGTTGTAGGTTCCAACCTGACTTTTTTTTTTGCTTACTGATTCGTGTCCTCATCTTTTGCTTTTCATCACCTTCCTACTTTATTGTCCTCTTCCAGTTCCTGACACCCTACCTTTTCCCATGTTGAAGGAGCGTGGGAGATCGTGATTGACACATATCGCTAACAGAGAGGATCAAATGGCGCTGAGAGCCCCTCCTCCTCTGTTGCTCCCTCCAATGCCGAACTCTTTGACCTGTCTGACCCGTGTGCATCTATGTGGTGGAAAAGCTCTCGTACAAAGCAGATGCAGCCTAATGGGGACACTTGCAAGAGTCACTGTGAAAATGGGAAACTATTGACATGCAGAAATTACATCTACGTCAATTTGTCTTTGTGTTGTAAATTGTAGACAAACACTCACATACTTGTAAGTGTGTGTTTTTGGCTCTTTAATAGAAGTGTCAGAGGCACAGAGCTCATGGGGTCCAAAGTGCTTTTAGATACAACTTTTTTTTTTTAGATAATACACAACTACAGTAATTAAAACTATTATTACTATTATTATCAATATAGACAATAACAATACAATTTTTTTATTTTTGTCAATATTTTGTTATTTTTGTATCTATTTAGAAGTTCTCCTTTTGCTAAAATGTTGTACTAATCCTAACTATATATTGGTACTGTTATTAATATTATTTTATTATGCAACTTTTTTCTTGTTTTTTTTTTTTTTTAGAGGAACACCATTGACAGCACAGCATCACCATGTTGCTGTAGAAAATACAGAAATAATTATCCTGTTTACAACATCCGACACGTCACTGAGCCATATTGGAAAAAGACACAATGCTCCATTTTTCTGAGATGCATAAAAGGCCCTTATGATAATATTCCGTCTGTTATTTCTCTGGCTTTTCCAGGCCGGGCGATGGGGTGACATCATCTTCGGTCAGGGCTTCAGGAGTTGTGGCTATTGTTAAATGATAATTACCACGGCTCATGAGGGGCCTCTATTTTTTATAACCTTGTGGTTGTGAGCACATTTCTGTGTAAGGGCAGCCGAGACTCCACACATACACACAGACGCGCACACACAGGTTGGGAGTGGGGGCCGCACGGCCCACACTGATTTAATTCTATCTGACAAAACCCTTTGGGGCGTGCAGAGGGAGAGAGGAAGATGGAGAGAGAGAGGGAGAAAGAGAGAGAGACATGGTGAAAGAGGGGTGAGAGAGACGCTTCAGGGGCCTCTTCTGCCAACCATGGCTATAAAGTGAAAGCAGGAGCTTTCGGTATACCCCCCAAAGCCTCCCACGCACGAGAGTGGTCGCAAGGCCCATTAAAACGTGGATAAAATACAAGGTGCATGACAGAGGAGTTTGCCATGGGACAGAGAGAGGGAGAGAGAGAGAGAGAGAGAGGTGGGGGTGTTTGCCTTCTCATGTTTTTTCTTGCCCAAGGTTTGATGGCCTGAAGCTGAGGTAGCAGATAGCTTTATATGACATTCAAACACAAAATAACATAACAGACGGATAGATAGATAGATAGATAGATAGATAGATAGATAGATCACCTGTTTCAGCTACATGTTTAAACATTTATTTCAAGTAAGAACTTAACTGAAATGAACTTAAACCCACTCATTAGCATTGTTGGTCAGTTCATTCTTTCTTATCATTATAATTAATAATTAGGTTATAAATCGTGTTGATTGCAAGAATCTGTTAAGTAATAATATTGGCTAAGAATTTATCCTGGGATCAGAGCACCTATTAGCCTATTAGTGCAAAATCTGATTACAATTTTGCCATAGTCCAGTGTGAAAAGTCAGTAGGAGAGTGAGATTTATTATTAAGCAAATACAAGCTGCGTTTTAATTTGACAAGAAATTATTTTCCTCAGATTACTATGCAGAGGTTTTTTTTCTTCTTCTAATTTTATGTTAAGTTTACGACAGGTGGATAAAAATTCTAATTTTCTCCCTGTTTCTTCTCCAATTTAATGAACATCCAGACATCCTTGGAAACTGTGTAATTTACAGCAACATGAGGATGTTGAGCCACTTAAACCGAACTGATTTATAAATTAGAGTTCAAGACCATCCAGCTGAACCAGTGTCGCAACTTTGCATCAGTGATAATTGCACAACATGTAGAACAGCAAATAAAACAAATCCAAAAGCTTATTATAATAAGGTTAAATATTAAAGCACGCGTGTTGGACTTCTAACTACCGACAAACTGCAAATACTGATTAAGGAGAAACGAAAAAAAAGCGCATTTTGTGATTTAAAGGGAATTTAACTGCAAGGAAAGGCTTAGTCAGAGTGGAATGAACTGTGTTAACATGTGTGTATGAGAGTTAGTGTGTGTCTGTGTGTGAGACAGACTGTGTGTCGGTGTGAGAGTGTGTGTGTGTGTGTCTGCGTGTGCACACAGGACGACATTGACATTGAATTTCAACATCCCCGGCGCGCTGCAGAGCGTTATGGAAATGGGTTAGTGGAGCGCTTGAGTAGTAGCCTATCCCTAAAACATTCAGTAAAGTTTATCACCAGAACATAAGAAGAAGAATTTAAAAAAAAAAAAAAACTTTTTCTTTTTTTAAATGCACAGAATTTGATCCGGTCTGGTTGTCTGTCCATGTTTTTTATGGAGTGGAAGCTAAATATCATGCGCCACTTTTAGTTTCCAATCACAGACTCTTGAGGCTTTAGGCATGAATTTGCAACAAAATTTAAAAAAAAAATAAAAAATGAAGGCCTCTTCCACACACACACAATCACACACTCCGAGTTAAAACACACACTTACGCGCAGAGAGCTCCAAATAAACTTTTATGTATGAAGGAGGTTGGTGAGGCTGCAGAGAAATCCACGCACACAGTTTCAGATGGAGAAAAAAAAAGTGCACTGCTGCTGAAACCTGCCTAGAATAAGCTTTCAAGGCCAAATCTATGATAAAAGCTTGTATGTGTTCATGTTCAGTCTGTATATGAGTGCGTGCGTTCAGCGGGATGAAGCTTGGGGAAAGTGCGGCGGTGTTTGGAGCGGTGGGATGGTCTTACCTCGCATCGTGTTGGCGTTGCTGGAGCTGGTGCTGAGGCTCGCTTCCCAAAGCAGCAGTCATGAAGAAACAAACATAAACACTTAAAAAAAACAAGGGGAGGGTTTGCTGAGGAATGAGAGGGTGAAAAAAAAAAGATCCTCGGTTTTTTAAAAATAACAACAAGAACGAAAAGAGTGCAGGTGATCTGCGTCGACGTCCACTGGCTGCCCTGAGTGGAAGCGTCTCTGCGCTAAGAGCATCCCAGACCGGGGCGCAGGGAGGCGGGCTGAGGTCGGTCGGTGCGTCGGTCGGTGCGCTCTGGTCGTGTGGCCGCTTTTCTCATGACATCTGCGCTCTCACCTCTATGGGAGGGTTTCACAGTTTTCTGCGGGCTGAAGAAGGGAAGAGCGTATAGGAGAGGCTTTACCCGGCGGCCCGGATTGGACTGGAGCACTTTCCGCTCCTCCCACTCTCTCCTGCTCAGCCTGCAGCCCCGGAGCCTGCACACACACATTAACACACACACACACTAATACACACACAGCCTGAGCGCACTCTGCTGCCACGGTGCACACACACACACACACGGTCCCAGCGAAATTTTTTTTAACGTCACCTTCCACATTTAGTCAGCCTTCTGCAATTTCAGGCTGTTTTCATGCATGCACAGAAATAAGTCAATCTTTAATCTGGTCTCGTACTGAAACCTAACAGTCTGCTGGAGGGGTGCTTACCTTTGCCTCTCGATTGCATTTCAGTTTGACCGTTTCCTAAAATTCGCAGAGGGCGCTAAGAAAAGTTCAACCAATATGGACCAAATATGACCAAATGATGTTCTAACAGTTTCAAAGTAAACACAGGGCTTGTAAAACGGTTGTATGTTTGACAGAGTGAGTTAAGGTCACTGTTTTGGCGTCAGGAGTAACTGCAAATTGTTAAAGCATTAAAAAAAATAAAAAGGAAAAGGAAAAGTGATGAATAACTGGAGCTAACATATAGACTTTAGATTAAACTGCAACAATAATAAAGACATACTATGCATTTAAGGTTATTCATGGGCACAAAATTCTTTTTAAAAAATTGTTAGAATAAAAAATAGATTTCAAAAATGTATATTCATATACATGGAACAAATATGGGAAAAACTGTTACTTTTTTTCAATTGTACATGTATGCTTCTATATAATAATTGCAATAATGTCACATGGAATTGAAACTTCATCAATTAAATAGGCCTAAACAAGACAATCTACTAAATCTAGATAGATAGATAGATAGATAGATAGATAGATAGATAGATAGATAGATAGATAGATAGATAGATAGATAGATAGATGTACATATATGTACATATGTACATATATGTAGGTTAATAGATCTTATGTCACAGAAAGAAGAGCAGCTCAGATGACTCGAATCGTCTCAGGTGTCCTCGGGATGCTTTTCAGGGTGGGGTCCTCTCCTTCCTCTGAGAAACACTGAAATAATGACCTGGAAAATGAAAGAGTAGGTGTATGTTAGACCACCAGTATACTGTACAATGACTGACCCACTGTAGGCCGCAGGGTGTTCAAATGCATGTTTGATCTCAGCTTCAACTTCTCGTGGTTTAGGATTTCAAATCACAAAGATAGACAGCTGGGTTTTTAGTGAACTTAAAATATGCCAGCTAGAGGTTTTGGGTATTGTTGCCATAGTTTGGTCTAGTTTAGTGAGCAGTAAATGAATTGTTTTATTGTGTTACGTGGCCCATTGAAATTTTTACAGCACTGTCACTGTTTCATTTAAAACCGGCATCACGTAAGACCACATGCAGATTTCATGACACAGTGAACTCTTGGAGGCTTTATAGACTTAACTGTAGATTCCTTGCAGTAACTTCTTACATGACACTGTAAACTGTAGTCTTTGAGTCACCTTTTACATTTTGTCACAATTGGCTTAACTCACTCAGACAGTATTAGTGGCAACTGCTCAAAATGGTGTACTGTGTTTACTAAGATCAGATAGTGCATTTAATTACTTGTTAGACATCTGATCTCCAGTAAAAGAGGAAACACTGTGTTCTTTTGTGATGAATGTTTAACTTCAGGAGGGAACATCTGAGTTGGTTTTTGATGTTCTATCGGTTCAAGTACCAGCAGATTTACAACCCAAATGATCGTAGCGATGAATCCTGGGTGGTGGAGCTATAAAGAAACCCCACCAGGCCTTCTTTGACCCTGGACAGACTTCTGGTGACCTGGTGCTATGCTCAGAGGAATCTCACCAAAATGTTAAACAAACAAAAAATAAAAATCATCATGTCATGAATGTGCAGAAGTGAGTGTCTGTTCTCGCAGTGCAGAAAAGAGCCACCACTGTCACTCACGGTTAGCATCACAGCCAGTCTTCAGCGTCTGTCATTAGAGTGGTTTTCTAAGGGATAACACTGTCGGAGCTTCTGTCAGCCTGCGCGAGGTAGGAGAGAGGCAGGTGTGGGTGAGAGCCACTCTCACCCCCGGTCTCTTTTAGCCTCTTTAGCTGTGGCCCAGGGAGAGAGAGACACAGAGAGAAACAGAGAGAGAAACTGCCCCAAGCACATCTCCACTGACCTACATTTCATCTGTCGCTTTTTTCCACTCTTCTTTTTTTTTTTTTTTTCATCTCTTACTTCTCCTGTACCAACAGCTCCATAATTGTGATGTAATGACCAAAGCAAGCGTGATAAAATCGCAGACTGGTCAGGGTGAAACGCTGTGCAAGACAGACAGACAGAAGAATGAGATAAAGAAAGGAAGAGATAGTGAAAGATAGATAGAGGGGGGGTTGACGTGAAAAGAGGGGGTAGTTGGTTCTTAAGAACACAATGAAGGTTTCTTCCTATTTTGTCAGAGCAATAAAATGTGTCTTTATGTGATCTGTATGCTGCGTGGACTCCAATCCATCTGAGGGCTGGGGACTCCATTAAGAAGGATTACCCCTCATTGCCAACCATTCACTGTTCTCCCAAAGCTACAGAGATAGCAGAAAAATGACTTTAAACATGACCAAATGTGTACGTCGTCTGTTCGGCGAGGATGGAAAAAAGAACATGGAGGTTGTGTGTGATGAGATATACTGGCGTGGAGGCTGCTCTGCCCATATGGTGGTAAGAGGGAGGAAGGGAGCAGACTGGGCCATGCCTGAGGGCTGAACTTGGAGAAGGAGAAGGCAGCACTCTGCTCTGAGATAGGATCTCAGGTCCTTCTGCCTTTATGTTTCGCTGTCTGGTAATTCTGGCAGCCTGAACGCTTGCTACATGTCTATCTGTCTGTCTGTCCACCTGCCTGACATTCCTCCGGCCTTGCAGCTCATCAGGTCTATAATATCTGCATGCCTGGTTGCCTGTGAATCTGTTTTGTGACCATCATGTCTGCCATTATTTTTTCATGCTTCTATTTTTCTTTTATGCTTTTAATGATTCCCTTTGTTTCAGTTAATCTCTCTGTTCCTCTTGTACCACCAGATGGTTGACATCAGTGGTTTTGAATGCTATATCTCAACCATTTTTGGATGGATTGCCATAAAATTATTAATATTCATGCCCCCTTCATGGTAAAGCTGGACCATCTCTGCGTACCATAGGTCCTAGAAGGTTGCAGTGGACACCATGCTCCCTGCACCCAAACCGCAACAACACATCGTGGGGGCCTGCAAGCACACTGGTTGATCAAACATGCAGTCAGGAAATTCTTCTACATTTGTTCCACACATGTAGTGTGTCCTTTGCACCATCACTGGGAAATTGATTTCCTGAAGTGAAGAAATGTGAAAGTACTTCTTATTGAACACGTTATACTGTCTGTGTGCAGTATGACAGAAAACATGCAAGAACATGTTCAAATGACACCCTTGTGCATTTGCTCATGTGCAGCACCAAAGAAGCATGATCACATTAATGGAAATAACTTCGCCTTTCACTCGAGCGCCAACATCAGGTCAATCATTTGTTTGCAAAATGAATAGTCTCACTTAGGTAGCCCATTCTGTAGAACATAACAGTCTGGCTGCACCTCAGTGTCATTCTGCTATTGGTATAAAAGCGCTCTGGTTTGTTTGTATTTCTTTGAACCAATCACAGCTGTGTTAGGCAGAACTAAGCGCAGGATATGGCTTCGGCGTTCCCTCAAAATAGTGATGGGTAGAATTATCGTGGTGGAACATTTGCATGCAGGGATATGAGAACTAATCCACCCAAAAAACTAGCAGGGATGCATTACTGCACAATCCAAATCCTCGACAAAACCTGACATTTTCAGTGTGATAGGTTACTAGAATGGCTGTAGTTGTTGTTAATGAAAGGGATTTTGAAACACGTAGATAGCAAAAAGAAGAGGAGAAAGCCGACTGACCAACACAGCCAAAGGCAGGCTTATACCTGTATTGTACATCTGGTGAGCCAGACTACTGCACAAAATTAACAACATATCCATCAACCTCAGCTGTGTTTAGTATTAATTAGCAAATGTTAGCATGCTAACACGATAAATTATGACAGTCTATCCATCCATCCGTCCTCTAGCTATACTTACTTTATCCAGCAGGGGCATGCAGGAGACTGGAGCCTATCAGCAGAGTACGGGGTGTATGGATGTGAGAGTGGCAACTATGCATGCTCACACTCACGATTAAGAGCCAATTTAGAATCAACAGTTGCATGTTTTGACTGTGGGAGGAAGTTGAAGCACCTACAGAAAACTCACACAGACACAAGGAGGACATGCAAACTCCACCCGGAGAGGCCCCAGCCGACCAGTAAGTTCGAACCTGTGAGGTTGCTGTCCTAATCACTGAACTGTCGAGCTGCCCTAAAGTAAGACAGTGAACACTGTGAACATTACACCTGCTAAATACGAGCATTTTGCACGTTTCCAACCTCCCAGGACAGCTTATACGGCTGTGGATTGCTTCAGTCTTTGACCCTTTCATTGCACAATACCACCATAACAAGCACAGGCTTCTTTAGTCAAATGACACTAAATACATTGCAGTGGTTCACCATCACAATGCATTTAACATGCTACATACCTATCTGTTTTGATGGAGGAACAG